TGTATGTGTGCCGATCTCGATTATTTTTGTTATCCAATTAAACGCCGCTTTTAACGCACTTGCCCTCGTCCTGACCCGGCACGTTCACCTATTTCAACAAAAAGTCAATTTATTTTCACGCGGCTGTCGTTTTTTTAATTATTTTATAGTGATCACTATAGTCTAATGTTTAGAATGTCAGAATATGTTCTCTTTTCTTTTAATTTTGAAAGTTTTACTCAGACGATCGATGAAATAAAACAGTGCAGTGACGTGCCTAGTAACCTGCTAAATAACAAGATAATTCTGACGTCAAATTCTATTTTTGTTCAGCGACAGTGTACAAACGTGCGCCGGTGTCGGTGACGATCACGGTTACCAGCTACACCAGAACAGACATATTTTGCATCTAACTCAACCCCATGCAACAAAAATTGATACTATGTGTTCATTATGATCCATTCTTCCTCGACGAACAAGTACATAAGTGACAATTTAGTCAAAGACGAGAAAACTGCACAAGAAATTTGCCTTATTTACACGTATCGGCAATGCAAGCTGCCATGCGACTTCCCCTTCTGACGTCACAAGGGGAATTTCTGTATGCAAATGAGAAGCTAATGAGGAGCCTCGTTTTAAAATACACAAAAATAAAGTTGCCGTAGACTGAGTTTAAAACACATTTTTTCACTTAAAAAAAATAATTCATGCTTAGAAACATAAAAATTATTAATATTTATATATCAAATGATAATTTTAGGCGTGAAAATAGCAGCCATTTCACAGGCACTTTAAAGTCCCATGATTTCTATTGACTCGGCATGACATTATGGAACTATTGAAATTACTGATAACATGTGAGACTGCAGTATAGCACAACAATGCAAAAAAGCAGGATTTCACTGATAATGTTTGTCATACGAAGATATGGATTTAGGTTTATGATCAGGTCCAACTTTTGGGTTTGTTAGTTTTGTGTATTGTTTGGACGCCCAGTAGCTCATTGTAGCCTTGGTTTTAGAAAATTATTTTTAGCATATTCCTAACAATTTTTGTAGTATATTTTCGTGCGTTTCTCAGTTTTCATTTCAGTTTTCACAAAAGTAACTTCAAAATTGTTATTGAA